TTACTTAGGGGAGTTGGCCAATTTTATAAGCATAAAGTAACAAAAGTAATATAAAAATTTCAGTAAGCCATTTAATCCCATTCCAGGGAAGTGAGGAGTAATCATTATCATCATTATAATAGCTCAGGTTTACTATGAACATTCTATTTTCCAGGCACTATGCTCTTAGCTGTTAAGGTATACTGATCTTTGTGAAACCTTCCTCATCATAAAACAGATATATCAGTTCATTAATTTTTCCTTTTGTCAAGTGTCCCAATTTGTGCTGATTTCATGCTTACCAAGGAAATTTTGAATTATGTTCTGACCTAACATATGGGTCTACCTGAAGGAAAAAAAAAATAAAAATGATGATCACATGAAATTCAAGTTTTCCACTCCACAGGATAGGGATGTCTTATGGGAAATATAAAAAATGGCTTTGATGATGATATGAATTGTCATCTAGGAATATCCACAGGGAATAAATGCGCTGATTAGTCTGGTCACTGGAACAATACATTCTTACATTTAATTAACTATTTGGCACTCTGCTGTCTGTCTGAATTATGTGTGTATTTTCATTACTCACCCAGGATGAGCACTGGGGCTTCACAGTGCTGACTCAGGTCCCACAATTCTTATCACTACCACTTCCATCTACTAAAGTAGTTTTCAATGAAGAATCATAAACATTTCCACTTAAGAAAATTCTAAATTTATACAGATTTTCTAAAAAGTCTGCAAAAAAGAATCAGGCAAGGAACAGACAATCTCTTCAACAACTAGTGTTAGGAAAATGGAATATCCATGAGTAAAAGGATAAAGTTGTTAGATCCTTTTCTTACACCATATACAAAAATTAACTTAAAATGGATTAGAGATCTGAAACTAAGACCCCAAAACTATAAGATACCTAGAAAAAAATATGATAAAATTGTCATAACATTGGATTTGGCAATGATTTATTGGATATGATACCAAAAGCACAAGTAACAAAAGAAAAATAGATAAATGGAACTATGCATAACTTAAAAGCTTTTTGTTTATTAAAGGACATAATCAACAGAATGAAAAGGTAACCTATGGAATAGAAGAAAAATTTGCAAATCATATACCTGATAAGGGACTAATACCAGAATATATAAAGAACTCCTTTGAGTAAATACCTAGTAGTGGGAAAAGACATTCTATAATAAAGACATCTGTACTCGAATGTTTATAGCAGCACAATTCACAATTACAAAGATGTGGAAACAACCCAATGTCCACCAATACATGAGTGGATTAATAAAATGTGGTATATGTATACCATGGAGTACTATTCAGCTTTAAGAAACAATGGTGATATAGCACCTCTTGTAT